AATAATATATTTGTCATTATACTTTATATATTACAAGATTTTGTTTTAAATATCAGACATGTCACATAATTTATTCAAACCTGTTTTTTTCTTTCATGATTGACATTTTATTTTCATTGAAGTCCTATTTTTGGAATAAAGACATAAAACTTTTTTTTTAACATTTTTATGTTTTACTCCTATTTTAGTCTTATTCTTTAAACTATTTTGACTCACAATTTTTTTATAAAGATTAGAAAAATGAGCAAATTTTAAGTAATAAAGAGAAAGGTGAGAGGTCTTATATGAAGTTTGATTAATAAAACATTCTATGTCACTATTTTATCCATAATTTTTTAATATAGTTTAACATATTGATGTTTACCTATATTATCATGTAGATTAATATACATAAAATTGTCTTATTCATATTAAAAAGTTGAAGAAAAAAATAATGAGTGTGAATCGTAAACATAGTGAGATGAAAAATTAATTTATAAACTATAGTTCTGAACATAGAAATGATAATAATAATAATAATAATAATAATAATAATAATAATAATAACCACATTAAAAATGTATCGTTTTCAGAATAATTGGTTGGGGAGAAGAAAGAGTGTGAAGAAAATGAGAATAGTTGGAAGGAACTGGAAGAAATTGGAAAAAAACTAGAAGCAACTGGAAAAAACCGGAAGGAACTGGAAGAAACAGGAAGGAACTGGAAGAAATTGGAAGTTAAGAGTTCAAGCCCTAAAGAACATGCTCTAAATGTATTAAGGTTTAATTTTGTTCTTTCATTTCTTAAAAAATAAATACAATAAGATTGATCCTATTTATGGAAAAGTGTCATGTTTTAGTCCTATTATATTCTAAGAATTTTCTCATTACAAATTAGCTCTAAGAGACTGGTTTTGTTTCCTATAAATTCTTACAAGCATCTTAGAGTTTGTTGTGGTTCACCGCTGATCGAACAGAAAGTATCATTTCTAGTACTGATCAGATGGCTGGTATATTGTCTCTTCGAGTGCCATCTTCAGCTAATCAATTTAATGGTATGCCTTCTACTTATTTTGTGTGGTTTATTAATAGTAGTGCTTCGTGTCGCATACCGGGTACTCTTTCATACTTATTTGACGTCAAAGATATACGTCGTTGTGATATTAGTTTGCCTGATTGTTCTAGAGTTCAGGCAAATCAAAAAGGAAGTGTGCCACTTTTATCTCATCTAGTTCTCTCTAGAGTGTTCTTTGTGCCCAACTCAAATTGTCACTTTATATCTGTTTATTGTCTAATTCGTGATAATGTGTGTCATGTGATTTTTAATGAGCATTGTTGTGTAGCACACGATCATTCGCTGAAACTAAAGATTAGACGAGGGAACTGAGAAACGAAGTGTATGTCTTTTACAATTCTTTGGACCAAGCTCATGTCTTTACTGTCGACCTGCTTCTTCTTCATCAACTTCTAGGTCATTCGCCTCCCCATTTATCTACTTTTATTAGTTCTAATAATGGCACTAGTAATATAAAGAAGTTGCAAACATGTGAAATATATTTTATGTCCAAACAAACTCATTCTTCTTTTCCTATTAGCATGAATAAACGTGATGCCATTTTTTATTTAATACATTGTGATATATGGGATCCTTACCATACTTGTTTGTCTACAAGAGCTCATTATATTTAACCATTGCAAATGATCATTCACGTGTTGTTTGCTATGATTGTTACTCAGTATGAGAAAACTATAAAAATTGTTCGATCTGACAATGCTACTCAGTTCTTAAATAAGCCTCTTCTTTAATATTATGATCAAACGGGTGTCCAAGTACAAACTTCATGTGCAGGTACACCTCAAAATAATGGTCGGGAAGAGCGTAAACATTGCAACATATTTAATGTGGCGTGGGCACTCATGTTCCAAGATCACTCCCTATTGATTTCTGGGGTGAATGTGTTAAAACTATAGTCCACCTCATCAATCGTATTCTCATTAAAATTCTGGGCATTAAGTCCCTTATTGAAGTTCTTTCTTCCAAACCTTGTGATCTCAGTCATCATCAAATTTTTGGGTGTCTCTGTTTTGTTCGTAAAAAAATTTCGAATAAATTTGCACCTTGTAGTGTTAAATATATGTTTGTTGGTTATCCCTAGCGTACCAAGGGATGGCTGGTGTACAATTTGGAAAGACATCGTTTTTTCGTACTCGTGATGTATCATTTGATGAGTCCGTCTTCCTTTTTGTTGTTCCTTCATCGTCTTCGTGACCATCTCATGCACTATCCCACGCGGATTTTCCAGATTCTATGCCGGAAACTGCTGTTAGTTTGTGGTGGAGATAGTAGATGAACTCTAAGATGCCATTGAAGGAGGTCGGCAGAGAGGATTGGTGGTTGTGGCGCTGCTATTCGAAAATAGGAGAAAAGAAATTGGATAGAGGAAGGACGTAGGGCTGGACACGGTACCGGTACAATACAGTTGCCGGTACCGTCACCGGTGACGGACACGATTTTTCAGTTCTGGGAACCTTTACGGAAACCGTCCCGCGTGGTACCGGTTCTGGTGCCAATTTTTCGGTACCAGCATCGGCGGTATCGTTTTGAAATTTTTTCCTTTCAAAATTTAGAGAATTCCAGCCTTTTCAGGTAAGTGGGCCGCGAGGAGCCTCACTCAACAGCTATAATGTCGTTTGAGTGAGGGGGGTTTGGGGTTTGGGGGGGTTTAACTACTATAAAAATATTCCTTATTTTTTTAAAATCTCATCTCACATTCTCAAATCTCACATTTTCAATATCCTCTTCTCTATTATCTCTCTCTTTATACATTTTATATTCATATAATAATATATATTATATAATATATGAATCTATACTCATATTAAACTTTTAGTCATATATTCATATATTACTAATGTATTATATTATTATTAATTAATATTATAATTTAAAAATTCAAATTTATTATATCATTAATATTTTAAATATCAAAATAGTCCTTTTTTATCAATATAAAAATATATTAAAATGTCAAAAGAGTCTGGTAGAAGGTCCTTAGATATGGGCGTTGTGAACCGATGTTCGAGGAAAGGCAAAGCTAAAGCCACTTCTGAAGGTTCGAGCTCACGTGGTTCTCAAGAAAGACATTTTGTCTCTTCCTTCCCTACTATCCCTCATCAATTTGTGGGCGACGCTAGTTGAACAGTATTTAGGAGGTAGGACGGACACTAATCTTTAAACTCTTGAAGACATATTCGAGAACATTGATGAAGCAGAACAGGACGTGGAGCCTACACCCGAGAGCAAAAATCCTACCGACGCCGAGGAGGAGGCAGGTGAGCCCGCGACCTCTGAAGGTCCGGGGACAGGTAAAAAATATAAATCTGATCTATTTTTTTTTATCATTTTTCAAAAGATACAAAAATGGCGAAGTTTTTGGAACTTGTAATTATTGTGGGACCGTTATAAAAATGGGAATTTCCAGGGGTTATGGTGGTCCGGAAAAACACCTAAGAGCGAGGCACCCCGCGGAGTACGCCAAATACGCGGCGAAAAAGAAGGGACGAGAAGAAGTGCAACCCCAAATTTCTCAGTTTGTTAACAGGGGTAAGGGCGGCCTTTTTGCTTATAGCGACGAGAAAAATAAGCAAAAAATGGACAAAATGATTTGTGAAGAAAATTTACCATACATGTTTTCTGAAAAACTTGGATTTATTGATTATTGTCAAAATGCATTAAACCCTCAAGCAAGAGGTTTTTCAAGAAAAATAATTAAGAGAGAAATTTTTCGACAATATAAAGTTGAAAAAATGAATTTGGTAAATTTTTTTCTCGCTTTTAATTTTCGTGTTACTATTTGTTCTGATATATGTGGAATGAAAAATATCATAATTTGTCTTATATGGGTGTTACTTGTCATTGGATAGATAGTGATTGGATTATGCATAAACGTGTTCTTGCATTTTGTGATTTCAATGAATCTTATACCGCTAAAAACATTTTTCTATTGCTTGAGTGTATTCTCCAAGAATACAATTTAGTTGATAAAGTGTTTGCATTTGGTTTTGATAATGCTACCAATAATAGTGCTGTTATTCCTAGCTTAAAGAAATTTTCCCCTACTACCACAATGAGTAGATTTCTACATCAAAGGTGTATCTATCTTGTTTTAAACTTATGTATTCAAGAAGGATTAGAAGCTATGGGGGGAGTTTTTACCAATATTAGAGGTGGGTTAAAAAAGATTTGGGGTAGTCGTGTTAATACGAAAGCGTGGAAGTTGTACTGTAAATCTAGGGAAAGAAAGGGCCTGTTTGGGAATAGCGTTAGAGATTAGCGTTAGCGTTTTGTAAAGGCTATCTACAGACAACGTTTAGCGTTAGCGTTTTCAAAGTAATCTGCATCGTTAAAATCTTATCCAAAACCCTAACGCTAATCTTTAACGATATTCCCAAACAGGCTCAAAGCCAATAACATTTGCTAAAGATATCATTATTAAATGGAACAATACATATAAGTTGATTGCACAGATTCTAAGCTACAAAGACAAACTTGCTGCACTTTTCAATAATGAACTTCATTATATGATTCAATTGAATGAATTTATTATTGTTGAAAAATTGAATACCGTATTATAAGTATTTAATAACGCAACTCTTACTCTCTCGCATGTTTACCAACCTACTACAAATAGATTTTTTAAAGAGTGTGTTACAATTGCAACATGTTTTTGGGAAAGCTTATTAAATCCACAGTTGTACCCCTATGTCATTCCTATGAGGAATAAATGGTGTTCTTATTATTTGTATATTCTTGATATTTATAAAATTGGTATTATTTGTGATCCTTTCTTTAAGATTGAAAATTTTCAAATTTTAATTGAGTATTACTCCACTTTTTTTAGATGAAAATAATTATTGCTCCAATCATTTAATAGAATGGACAAAAGAAAGAGATACAACAACAATAACAACCTAGTTGAATCCCACTACAGTAGGGTCTGGGGAGGGTGTGTGTACGCAGACCTTGCCCCTACTCGAAAGTAGGGAGGCTGTTTCCAAGAGACCCCTGGCTCAACCTGCACAAAAATATGGAAGGGAACACAATATAACACGGGTAAAGAGTCAAGTACAAGCAGTAGTAAAGGATTCCAAACAAACACAACATACTACAAACAACCTCTACAGCACCGAGCTCCTATCCACCTACTCTAATCCTAGTTCTCCAAAGGTTCCTATCTAAGGCCATATCCTCAGTCAGGGTGAGGATTCCTAAATCCTGCCTAATCACCTGCCTCCAATTCTTCTTAGGTCTACCCCTACCCCTACTTTCCCCGAAAACTGTAATCCTCTCGCATCTCCGTACAGGGGCGTCAGCATCCCGCCGTCTCACATGACCAAACCATCTCAACCTCGCTTCCTGCAACTTATCTTCTACTGGCGCCATGCCCACCTGACGTCGGATAACTTCGTTCGAAATCCTATCCAACCTTGTCTTCCCACACATCCATCGTAGCATCCGCATCTCCGCCGCATGCAGACGACGCACATGAGTCTTCTTAACCGCCCAACACTCTGCCCCATATAACATAGCAGGTCTGACTACGGATCGATAGAACTTACCTTTCATCTTGGGCGAAACCTTCGGATCACACAACACCCCTGAAGCTAACCGCCATTTGGCCCAAGCCACTCCAACACGATGTCCAACATCCCCATCTAACTCCCCATCAGCCTGGATTACCGAGCCAAGATATCGGAACTTGTCTACCTTAGGTACTAGGTGAGAGTTAATCCTAACTTCCACTTCTGATTCTGTTTCCCGGCCGCTAAAACGACATTCCATGTATTCAGTCTTGTTCCTACTAATTCTGAAAGGACAAAAGAAAGAGATAATGTTATTGATTTTTTTGAGGCTTTATTTAAAGAATTTCAAGCAATTTACGGTAATGCATCGGAAGAAACAACACCTCCTCCACCTCCCAAAGCAAAAAAAAAGGTTTTAAGGTGATAGTTGGTGGCCTTTTGGCAAAAAAAGGTAAGCATGGTGACACTTCGACGAGTTCAGGTGGTACAACTGTAAGGTCGCGCAACGAACTTGCTATGTAACACCCCAAAAATTGGCCTATCAGAGTTAATTAATTTATAATTAATTAATTAATGAGAAGGACCCAAAAATAAATAAATTCTAAAGTTTGTCAATAAATAATGAAAATTTTATCGTTATGTAGAGTTTGACTGTCTGACCCCAACGGTTCAATCGGATTTCAATTTGGAGAAAGTTGGACCAGAAAGTGTACCCCAATTGGGACCAGAAATTAGTCCCAATCAGGGACTACATTCCAATCGGCGCTCACTGTACAAACGGCGCACTATCCGATTTTGGTGACTCAGGAATATTTCATCCATGTCTTCTTCTCCTTCCTTCCTCTATTTAAGAAATCTTTATTCCCTCAATTCTTCACCAAATCATCCCAAAATTCTCTCTATTCTACTGCCTTGAGTGAGGAGAGTTTGCTGGTGTTTCCATTTCAGAGAGAGGTCGCCGGAGTTGAGAGCTTTTGTCGCCGGAAGTTTTGCCGTCTTTCCACCGGAATCATCGTTTAACATTAAAGTAAGCCCCTAGATATATCTAATGACTAGAATGCTCATATAGATCGATTCTACGTTCATAAATGGTCATTTGGTTGAGTTTGTGTTTGACATGCTTGAAGAACTAAGAATCATAAACCATGAAATTGATGTTATAATTATGAATTAATGATGTTAAAATGATCCATGAACCTTAGAGAACATTTTTATATACTTTAATTGAAGTTTGGTGAGAAAAAGTGACATTTCCGCAAGTTGGCTCGAGGTAGAAGACGATGGATAATCGATTATCAACTTGAAAATCGATTATTCATCGTTCTGCAGATTTTTGTAACAAAGCTGAGCAACAGTCGATTATCAGAATGTGATAATCGACTGTCAGCCCTCTCTGAAGTTTGATAATCGATTATCAGAGTGTGATAATCGATTATCAGCCCATTCTGAACATCAGACAGTAGATTATCAGAAGTGACAGTAGACTGTCTCCCTACACTATTGAAGAAAATGAAGCTAATAGCTAATAATTGAATTTCCTATCATATATTAATCAATT